GTACAAGATGATGGGGGGGGGCGCCCGGGCGGCTCAGTTGGTAAAGCGGCTGCCTTCGGCTCAGGTCATGACCCTAGGGTCCCAGGATCGGGTCCCACACCGGGCTCCCTGCTCCGTGCGGAACCTGCTTCTCCCTCTGTCCATCCCCCTGCTTGGGCTCGCTCTCACTTGCTCTCTCTCTCTCTCTCTCAAATAAATAAATGAAATCTTTAAAAAATAATAATAATAAGATGATGCAGGGTCTGTGGTGTTCTGTGGGAGTGGAACGTGTGACCTCCTTCCAAGCGTGGCACACTGAATCCTGGTTTCTTTTCTGCCTTACCACATTGTGGATCACCTGAAAGCATGGCCAAGTTCGCCGTTAGCAGAGAGGATTGGAATTCATTTATTTATCGCGCTTTGTGTAATGCGTTGACATTAGGGGAAGCCTTACATCAAGACCACATCCGCGCGAACTTAGAAATGGTTACACCTCTTTGAACCCGCAGCATTTCTCCGGAACGTGTCACTTCATGATTCAGGCGCTCACCCAAAGCTCAGAGAACTGGCCAAAAGGAACGTTTGTCCTCTGAGTCAGGTTCAAGGCTCCAGCATAGGGATTTCGACGTTGTAACGTGCGTTTTTGTCTTTTGTCTTTGCGCGGAAGGACTCGCATCGCTTTGGGAAGCACCTGAGACGGGCGATGATGGACATCATCGGTTTGTTTGGGTTCGGTGCCAACTCCAAAAAGTAACTCCATTAGAGCCGCGGTGAAGCAGAAGGAGCTCATCCGCCAAAACCAAATGAAGAGTAGCTGTCCGATCCCGAGTGTAGGTCTGGATGCAGAATTGCCCCCACAAAACTCAGTTTTCCTTTCGTCAAGGGTTTGGTGTTTTCCTTCTTATAGAACAGCAGGTCTCCACCACGTGAAGTCTGACTCCACTACTTCCTGGCAGGTCCCAACTTCGGGGATCTTTTCATCAAGTGCCCCCCTACCCCCGCCCCTAAAAATGTTTGCATCTGCCTGTGGTGACTGAGGGACGAGACTGTGGTTGAGCTATTGAAAGGACTGGTGGGGTTGTGACTTCACGCATTGGGAGCGCAAGTGGCACGTTTCCTCGGGGGGAGGGGGGGCGACCGGACACCTGGTACTCACGGGCGTTTACTACTACCCGAGCTCGTTTTGTTCAGAGAGGAATGCGTTCAAGTTCTGGAGATGTTAACCGTTTGTAGCTGACGCGCGTGTAACGCACTAACAGAAACACTGTGCTTCTGGAAACAGTTCTTATCACTGTGGGTCATTCCGTCACTGTCCATCATCTGGTAGCTCGTATTTACCTCTCTGTGTTGGAAGCGTGCCGTCCACCTCATCTCTACTTTTACTGACTGTGCAAGTCTTCAAAACCCAGTGCCTTAAAAGTGGAAGGCCCAGAGCGAGAGGGAGACCGTGGGAAAGATTTCCTGGGTCGGGTCGGTCTTCAGGTGGAATTGTGTCTTACTCCATTCTCAACTGAAACCCTAAATCAGTGTTTCCTGTGGTTTCCCTGCCCCTAGAAAGACCAGTTCCCTCCTGAGGGCAGCTGGGCTGGATGTCCCCGCATCAGACGGCCTTCCTTGCATCATTAAGCTATGAAAGAAAGGGTGTGTGTGTGTGTGTGTGTGTGTGTGTGTGTGTGAGAGAGAGAGAGAGAGAGAGAGAGAAATGGGAAGCAAGAGATGTCACGGTCAAGTGTGATGTGTCTGGAGAAGAAAGCATGAGCTGGGCCTCCAGGTAGCTGCTCACCCAAGCTGACAACAAAGGCAGGGCGTGACATTTACCACTGACAAAGGAACAAAGCTTGAGAAACAGGAAGAATAACCTCAAAATGGTCAGGAGAGTGCAGGGCCAGTAGGACCCAGGAGTGCTTTCCTGTCCCAGCTGGCAAGAGATAGAACCACTGTCCTTTCCAGAGGAGATGGAGGGTGATAGAGACCATAGGCCGCATCATCTCAGTGATGGACGAAAGTGTCGCAGGTGCTAGGTCTGACACAGCCCGCCCTTCAGGTGGGTGTGCCTTCATCTGGAAGCATCAGATCGACCAAAAAGCAATTATGCACTGAATCGTCTCCAGGATTTAATGTAAAAAATAAAGGATCATGGAACGGGAAAGCCCCATGGCCTCCACGGCCATAACGACCAGCTTAGCTGTCCATTTTCAAAACTGTATTTTTCTGACCACTTTGTTCTGGTGGGGCTCGCCTCTGTAAGAGCCGTGCACTGCTGGGATACCATGACCAGGCCGGACCGTCGGAGGAGACGGGTGCTCGCTACAGGGCGTATGCGTGTTTTGTTTATGTACATGTGATAATGTCAAAATCCCACCTAAATGGGCCAAAGATTTTTTTTTTCCTCTTAAAAGCAAAAATGAAAACACACACAAAAAAGCTAAAATGAAAACCAACATCTACAGTAACAAGCCCTACCCCCCCTTCCTTCATGGTTCATAGTGAAGGAGGTGTGGGGGGGAATCGCCCACTCTGTCCCCTGGGGTAGGCAGGTGTGGCTTCCAGTCAAAGCTGGCATCAGTCGCCATCAGAGCCACCCCAACCCTGCAATACTGACCACTGACCTTAGCGTTCCCATGTGAATTCCAGTGTCGCCGTGTAGCACTCAAACACATTTGGGCTCGTCTCTCAGGTTTAAATATTTCAAATGTAATTAATTGTTGTTAACCAGTGCAGTTATCAATGCAATTGATAAAAGAAGGAAGAGTGGTTTTTATTGTACATGTTGAAAGGAGGAGGGAAGAGTATTATGTATTTAATTTAATTTGGAATAAACCATAGTCTTAAAGGAGCTGTGGTTTGAATTTGTTATCTTGGACTGTCCATTGCATGTAAATACAGATGCTCTTTTGGATGTAAATCTGAGAACTGCAGTATGAATGTTATCATTAATAAAACATTAATCCCAGCCTTTGTTCCTGGTTCTTTTGTAATATGAATAAGGAGGTTATAAGTCAGGGGTGGAAGTCCAGGAGCTGGAGACCTTTGGAGAGAGACCGCAGGCGGCTTACAGGAGGCCCAGTGTGGCCTCAACCAGACTCACTGACCTGGCTGAGAAGGGCAGCTGCCAGGATGGGCTGTGGGTTTCCACTCTGTGTTCATGCATTCTCTCCCTGCTCCCACGCCCGTAACAGTGTCCGATACGTAGTAGGTTCCCGAGTATCTGCTAAGTGGGTGCGTGAATTCAGTTTTCTCGGTAGTCTTTCTTGAGCACCTACTGTGTGCTAAGCTCTGCTAGGTACAGCGGGGACCCCACGAGGTTCTGGCTGTGGGTGGAGCTCAAATCCGGTGGGAGGACGACAGAACCAAGACAGCCATTCCAAGGATCTCCAGTGTCCCAAGGGAGATGAGAGGATCACGTGTGGGCAGAGGTAGCTGGCTGCGAGAGGCAGCTGATTTGAGGGGAGGCCTGAGTCACGACACAATTGGCTTCGGCTGATCCCGGCTGGAAGAGCATTTCAGAGTGTCCCAGAGGTCCTGAGCCTTCGAGTCTGGCTAGGTCGTGACTTGCCCAGGTGGCTGCGCATCCGATGGCATGGGAGCTGCCCCTTGAAAATGTGGGAATGGTAAGAGTCTTGCCGGTTGATGTTCTTGCTCCGGCTGCTCAAGCTGGTCAGATGTTTTTCATGAGGGCCCTTCAGTTTGTGTCCGCTGCCTGCTCCATCCCTACAGTTTGGGAAGCCCAAACTGCTCGCTCAGCCCTGCCCTGAACGCAAATGACTTCAACCGTGATGAGATTGTTTCAGCCATAAGCTTAAACGCCGTCTACGCATGCATCTGTAGGTGAGGCCCTGCGAGGGCTGGAAGGATACACAGCTGACTGCAGTGTCCCCTTGGCCGGCAGCACGACAGGGGATGGCCTGTTTCTTAAGGGAACTTTGGCTCTATCTGTAATGTTTAAATATTCCGGTATAGGGCCCCTGGGTGGCTCAGTGGGTTAAAGCCTCTGCCTTCGGCTCAGGTCATGATCCCAGGGTCCTGGGATCGAGCCCCGCATCGGGCTCTCTGCTCGGCAGGGAGGCTGCTTCCCCTCTCTCTGCCTACCTCTGTGTCGACTTGTGCTCTCTGTCAAATAAATAAATAAAATCTTAAAAAAAAAATATATATATCTATATATATTCCGGTATAGAGTTTATGAGCCAATGGAAGAAAAAAATTATTCTGGTTTTGATCTGAAGAAGTCAGGCTGGTCTGGGGGCCTCAGTTTCCCCATGTGAGGCTGGAGCTGAAGACCCTGCGAGCATCTTTCCTGGCCCTTCTCCCCGCAGCAGCCCGTCCCCACCCCCGCCGGGGTCACCAGGCTCTCCACGAGCCCCGCCTCCGCCACGCCCCAGCTCGGCCCCGCCCACCGCTGCCCCGCCCTTGCGGGCTCCGCCCCTAACCGCCAACGGCCGCAGGCACGTGAGGGGCTGCTCGCTCAGGCCCTGGTCCTCGTCGCTCCGGCAGCCGCAGAGGCCCCAGGTGTGTGCCCCTGAGGAGGCCTGACCCCGCGCCCGTCCGGCCGCCGTGGGGTCTGCCCGCGGTCTCCCGGCGCGGCCTAGGGATCTGCAGGCGGGGAGGGGGACAGTGGGTCCCCCGGTCGGACCCTCGGGAATGGAGGGACCCTGGCCCCGTCACGCCCTTGGGAATGGAGGGACCCCCTCCCCGGTCAGGCCCTCGGGGACAGCGGGAACCCCCTTACTCCCCGGTCAGCCCCTCAGGAATGGAGGGAACCCGGCTCCGGTCAGGCCCTCAGGAGTGGAGGGACCCCCTCCCCCCCCCCCGCCCCCGCCCCCGCCCCCGCCCCCGCCCCCGGCCAGCCTCCAGCCTCCTCCGGCGCGGGGGGCGGGGGAACCCCCCGTGGGGCGCGGGGCGGGGCCGGGGCAGGGCAGTGCCCGCCTCACCTGGCCGCGTCCTTGCAGGTGCTCGGCTCTGGGCCGGAATCCGCGTGGCGAGGGGTGCGTGGCGATGCCCGACCCGAGGCCCCCTCCGTGGACATGGAAGAGGTCCCTCTGCTCGGAGGGATGTCCGGTCCCGAGGAGGAGATCGTGACCGACCTTTTCAGTGCAGAGAGTCCGTTCGTTTCGGAGAACCTTACCCTGAAAACCCCGGTGGTGGTGAAGCACGAGGAGGACGAGTTCCACGTGTTTAAAGACGCGTATCTGAGCTCCGCGGACCCCAAGGAGCCCCTCCTGCACGCGTTGAACCCCCCGCTTCACGTGGACTGTGACAGCCAAGTGAAAGTGGACCTCGCGGTGGGCGGCAACGACGACGAGGAGATGCTCGCGGAGTACCCGAGTCTCCCCGAGCTCAGCCCCCTGGAGGACGCCGCGCTGCCGGTGGTGGCCCCGCAGCCGCAGGCCTACAACGTGCACTTCCTGTCCTCCCTGCTGGCCCCGCACCGGAGTCCTGCTGTCGTGCCCCTGGGCGCCTGGGCCAGGGAAGGAGGTGCCCACCCGGGGGTCCGGGTGATTCCAGTAAGATCCATGTGGGAGACAGGCGCCGGACCTCGGTCACCCGGTCCGGAACAGAGAAGTGAGACCGCTGGCCCGGGCCAAGATTTCCCTCACAAGCCTTTTCCCGGGGTCAGTAGCCTCCTGAGTTGGAGTCACTTATTCCAACTGAGCACCTCCCTTTGTAAGCTCCCCCCACGGCCGACCCAGCCAGGCCATTCTCCCTGCAGGAGAATTAGATCCTGGGGGGCTGACAGCAGAAGAGGGAAACAGCAAGGAAGTGTGTGGCCCTCCCCTGTTGCTATCACTGGCTTTAGGAGAGACCCTCCCCCCACCTTTATGTTAGAGTCGCTAATGTCCTGGGAAATGCAGTGTGATTGCTTTCACGTAGTCCTGAAATCAAGACGTCGGAGCTTCTCTCTGCTTCTTCTCTTCTCTCCTCAAACATAAGTAACATAAATCAGTCTACATAAATTCCTGCTCATTCTGGGCTAACGGCCCTCTTCTGCTGTCGCCACTGGTGATTTTTCTGCTTTGTTCTTGCCAGAATGAAACAAATCAATTTTTAAGGGAAACAGGATCCCAAGGAAATGGGTACTGGCCCCCTAAGAGGATCAAGTTTGAAAAGCTAGAGTACTCAGCCCCTAAATCACTGTAGTAAGTTGTTAAGCGTCTGAGGAGCACTTTGGAGATGGTGTTGGGATGAGGGTGGCCTAACTTCGTGTATCAGAAGTCATAGCTCCAGAGCTTGGATTTCTGCCTTTCTGATTTCCCTTCGGTGCAGCTGCTGCTCCTTAGTGTAAAGGAAAGATGGGGAGGAGAGGCTGGGCCTCCACCACCCTCTCAGCTTACACACGGGAGCCCTAGAGCTCACCTGGTCCTACCAGCCATCACCGCCGTAGAGGTCTTCCCTGACTCTTCCTCGGATGGCTCGCAGTGTCAGCCGCTCCGTTTGGCTTCCGGGCCAGACTGGGGTTCCTGGCACCTTTTGCCTGTTGGGCGTCTAGGACGACTGCTTTACAAAGTAGACTCAGTGAGAATTCACCAGAACGGGAATAGAACTGGCTCATCTCAAAATCATAACATTCTCTCTCTCGTTTTTTTAAGATTTTATTTATTTATTCGAGAGAGCAAGTAAGAACATGAGAAGGTAGGAGGTTAGAGGGAGGAGCAGACTCCCTGTGGAGCTGGGAGCCTGATGCGGGGCTCGATCCCAGGACTCCGGGATCATGACCTGAACTGAAGGCAGCGGTTTAACCGACTGAGCCACCCCGGCGCCCCACATTCTCTTCTAACATAATCCAATTTTAACAAAATGTAGGTTGGACAAAATAAAGGAGAGGCTATTTGGATGATATTTCTTTGCTTTTAGAAAATGTTATTGCCTATTTCCTAGTTAACTAGTAAAATGAAAAAGATAACAGCATGGACATGTTTATCGTTTAAACAGAATGGGATTATTTTAAAGTAAATATTGAGGATGAATTGCTCATTTCCTTTTTCTAGAAATTCATTCCCACATTGACCTTTGTTCATATCTCTTCTGTAAAAATGGGACTTCACTGAGTGTAAGTAGTTCAGATCATAGTCGCCTGCAGCAGAGGAGCTGATACATTTGCTGTGCAAGTACGTGTTAATTATAGGGTGGGAAATTCAATCTGAACTCTGAGGGCACCGGCCTGGCAAGTTCCTTAAAGCAGAAAGCAGAAGAAAATTTAAAATTTTCTCCTTCTATAAAATGTGAATTATCGAAATAAAGCCATAACTTGAAACACAGCTAAACCTTCTTCTTTTTAAAGATTTATACCTTCGTGCCGGTCTGCTGTGCTAATAAGGAAACCGCCAGTAATTATCGTCTGTGCGGATCGCTGACTTCACTATTTGTTGGACACCTCCAAGTTTGCGTCCACAGCCACACCTAGAAAGATCGTGATCTGTGCTGTGATTTTATTGTTTTTATTATTTTTTGAAGATTTTATTTATGTATTTGACAGAGATCACAAGTAGACAGAGAGGCAGGCAGGGAGAGAGAGAGGAGGAAGCAGGCTCCCTGCCTTTCTGCCAAGCAGAAAGCCCAACACAGGGCTTGATCCCAGGACCCGGAGATCATGACCAGAGCTGAAGGCAGAGGCTTAACCCACTGAGCCACCCAGGCGCCCCCGTGCTGTGATTTTTAAATGAGGTCTTCAGAATGTTACCCTAGAATCCCCGTCTTCTTGGAAGGACCTGCCTCCTGGCCTCTGGGGAGCTCCCCTGCACTCTGCAATGGGCACTCTAGGGCTAGTGGAGGTTCAGGAGGGGTTGGCCGATGCCATCCCAATCCTCCTTGCATTCTTAGCAAATGTAGAAAGAATCCTCACGATTTTGGAACCCTCAAATCTGATGGTATTTTTTTAACCATTGAGTCTTTAGTTTTTAAATTTCACCAGTTTTCAGCAGTATCACTGGCATTTTGCCGTCTTGCTGGTGACCCTGCCGCGTGTCAGTGAGCTGGCAGCTGTTGCAGAAGATGGCTTAGAGACAAAGCTGGCCGTTCCCCAGGCCCTTAGCATTTGTTACAGTCCTGCCGTCCAGTCAGGACGCCGCTGTTATGTAATTGTGAGTTCTGCTGTAAATACACGATTAATATTAAATCTGATATGTTGGCAAGGGTTGGAGGCTTCTTGAGAAGAAAACAAATCAACTGGAGCATTTCATACAACCTAATGAGCACACTCTAGGAACGGTGAGAAAGGGCCAGCTTGGAGGCCAGGTTAAGGAAGATCCCTCGAGTCTGCCAGGTCCTAGAGAAGGGGGGGCTGTTGGGCCCCTTGAGGGGCCCGCGGCCAGCTGGGGCATCTCCTCAGTTCCTCATGCCGTGTGCTGGAGGCAGCATGAGCGCCGCGTTGAAAGTTCACCTGTGCATTTCGTGGGCAGATGGGTTTTGTCCTCAGGGTCCTTCCTCCCCTGTGAGGCTGATCAGAGAACTTACCACTCCTCCTCGTTGCCCCCACATAGGGAGAATGACAGGGAGAGAAGTAAAGCTACGGGTGCTCTTTCCTTTACAAACAGTACGCAACCGTGAAAACCGGTGTCCACAGTGTGGTTTCTAAAATAACAATTGCTTTTTTTTTAGGTGGAAATAAAGGAAGCAGGTGGTACAATTATAAGTAACAATCCCGAGGAAGCAACTTTTCAGAACCCTCTTGGTCCAGAATCCTGTTGCAAGTTCCCCTCGTCGCAAGAAGCCGAGGACGCCTCTGGCTGCTCTCACAAGAAAGACTCTAACCCAATGGTAACAACGCCAAAGAAAATGTGTCTTAACTGACATTATCTTAAATGTTTGATTCTGATCATTGCTAATTCAATAGGAATCGTCAATTTCAGTCACTGTTTTTCCATTCTGTTTCCTTGTTGAGTCCGCAGTTCTGATTGTCTCCTCTATCAAAAGAGGAACATAATTAAAACCATGTAATGCTCTGTTCACCTCTGGAATTCCCAGTTCCTGGGTCTTAGCAAACCAAACAAAGATTAGGACATTGTGATCCTTGCTAAGGAGGGTAGCCCCAAGTCCCCTTGGGCTGGGGCAGCCTTTAGAACTGTGTGGTTTGGCAGGTGGGCGGGTAGAGGGAGCTGGGGGTTCTGTGGCTGTTTCCCTTCCTGCCTGCCTCCAAATTCCTAATAATACCAAGTGACACTCGCATGATATACTCCATAACCTGTGTGGTTCATTTAATCCTCCTGTCAACGCTGTAGGCTAGCCATTATTTTTATCTTCATTTCATGGATAAGAAAAGAGAAATGTGGGGCACCTGGGTGGCTCAGAGGGTTGAGCCTCTGCCTTCAGCTCAGGTCATGGTCTCAGGGTCCTGGGATCGAGTCCCACATCGGGCTCTCTGCTCAACGGGAGTCTGCTTCTTTCTCTCCCTCTGCCTGTCATTTCCTCTGTTTGTGCTCTCTCTTTCTGGCAAATAAATAAAATCTTAAAAAAAAAAAAAAAAAGAAAAGAGAAATGTTACATGGTCTGCTTGTAGGTGGTGCCTCTGGGACCCCAGATCTGAGTGTGGTGAGTGAGGACTAGGAAGGAGGAGAATCAGGCCCTGACTCTTCCTCTAGCGAACAGTCCAAAGAACCAGAGGCCGCCTTTTCCCTTGCAGCTCTTTACCCCAAGAAGGGTGACCTAAGCTCTAAGGCACATCCTTTAACTAGGAGTTAACTTGAAAATGAGCTCATCACGAACGTTGGCTTAGCTGTGGCGTGTACCAGTACTGCCTGCCTGTCTGTGCTTTTGCTCGGGTGTGTGGGTTCTGAGAGCAGAGCTTGTCCGTGACGCCTGGAGCAGGTGAGCAGGATAATTCTTCTAGTTACACCAGGCTACTGAGTAGCGTGCACACACTCCTGGCGGGGAGGGCATGGCAGAGCCCAGGAGAACCCATTCTTTCTCCCAGTTTTGTGTACCTCCGTGTGTGTGTGACTATAACTTTATCCTCTGACTACAGATAAAATGCCAACCCAACATGAACACTAGCCTCTTATCCAACATCAAGGTGATGTGAAGGTTTGAGCCAGTGACCAGCCCTTTGTTAACATTGGTTCTACAGGTGTCATTCTGCTAACATCGATCCTGGGCGCTTACTTGGGGTTTCCTGTCTGGGAAACCCAAAGGCAACCTAGAGTTGGAAACCGCGGTTTCTCTGGGTATCCGTGGTTTTACCGTCAGCATTAGAAGCTGTCAGGGCAGAAACTCTGATTTCTCTTGCCTTCACATGCATGCTGCGCTGCCTGGGACAGGACTGCGCCCCGGGAAGGTTCCATCTGTGCTTTGCTTGACTGGTGTCTTTGACTCACGGACCTACCTGGCTCACTGAGGAATCATCTATGGTCAGAATCCAGCGAGGTGATCTGAGAGTGCAGGAAAGATACCTCATGAAATATAAGATTATTCTGAGAATGTGACCAGCTCCAGAGGTGGAGTCTGGGTCGAAGCCTTTTCCTCCAGTTGACTGGATCTGGTGGGGCTGGGGTGGGGCGGATCACCACACTCTTTGTTGAGGCAGACAGTGGAGCGTAAAGATGGAGAAGGCAGCTCGGTGCAGAGTCACCGAGACCTAAACCTCCACAGGCAGACACCGGTAGAGGAAGGCATGAGCAGAAACTTGCATTCACACCCAGAACACATCTCACGAAACAATTCCTGGGGGGGGGCGGTTTGCCCTGTTCTTCCTCCAGAGAACATATTACTGTGGAGTAAGACATCGAGAACAGATTTTAACTTGCCGTTTTCCATTAAAACTGAAATTCTGGATTAAAGTTACTTTCTCAGATTTAAGTTCATTTAGATTCGTATTACTGGATATCTTTTAAAAATGAAACCTGATCATTATTTTTCATTTTAGGTGATATGTCAGTTGAAAGGGGGTGCACAAGTGCTGTGTATAGGCAATTCTGGCACAAGAGAACTAAAAGCTCTTCATTTGGTTCCTCAGTATCAAGACCAAAATAATTATCTACAGTCAGGTACAGAGTACATTAATAAAAACTTATGTCATATATCATATGTAAGTTGATAAGTGATTATGTTTGGCTGTGTACATAGAGTAAAAGTAAAGTAGGTGGTTAGGTTGTTAACTAGGCAACTTGCTAAATCTGTTCGCCCTTATAACTGAACTAAGAATAGAAACAAAATCTTTATAGACTAATTTATGTACATTGTGTTCTTGAACAGTTATCCTCTACTTTGCTAGCTGCAGAGAGCGTGTGACGCTAACAGGTGACTGCTGTTCCGACATGTGCATGTGTTGAGAGGGGACTGGGTTGGGACGCCAGCCTCCCCTCGGTTGGGCAGGGGGCTGACGTTCAGGTGCGGTTACACCGTATACAGTTTAATGGAAACATTTTCGTGTAATCAGTGAGAACTGTGACTATGCTTTAATCACCACTGAGTTTTAAAATATATCAAATGCTGATTTTTCTCTGCCATTCTTTCAGAAACATCTTTAAACTGACATAATAATAATATATGACCTAGGAGTCCTTAATTATCCACAAATTACTTTTAAGTGATTAAAGAAAGAATAAATAACAGAGTCTTAGGATTGTATTTACAAAAGTTAGACCCTAATTCTTGAAAACTAGGTATCTCTGTGTGGATTGTATACATAATCATGTTAGTCTAAATCTTGAGTTAATCAGAATATTTTAATTATCAGATGTTTTGCTGATCTTGTCAACGGTTTATTTATTTTTGTTTTTGTTGTTGTTGAAGTATAATCCACCTACCACATTATATTAGTTTTGTTTGTACAACATAGTGATTTGAAGTTTGTATACACGGGACACGATCAGCGCGGTAAGTCTAGTTACCATCTGCTGCTACACAAAGTTGATGCGATATTACTGACTGGGCTCCCCATGCCGTACTTGCTGGTAATTTAAATCAATATTAAGTACAGATGTCATTTCAGTGGCACTACAGAGTTCAGGGCTAGAGGAAATACTGTAACTCCTGTTCCAAACTGATAGTCTCTTTATTTAGGGACCGATAAAATGCCTTCAAGACATTTGCTTTTCTGTGGTATGGAATCAGGGGTGGAGTTTAGTCTTCCAGAAACCCTTTGTCCATGCCCCCCACGGTCTTCTGGCTCCATCTCCTGTAGGTCGGAGCGACATCTGATCCTCTGCACAAGCAGGGGAGGCTTCTTTCCTAATTCCCCTCCTTCTGGAACATGACTCAGTCCTAATGCCTTTAGATCCACAAAAGGAAAGGCTTTATATGGTGTTCTCCAAAACTACTTCCTTGTCATAGAATCATAATCCCGTCACCATGGACGCATGAAATACCAGCATGAGATAAACACATCCTGGTTACCGAAGTGTCAAGGTAACATCGCTCAAAGGATGCGCGAGCCCAGAGCAGGGGATGTGTTCAGCTGGTCAGTGACTGAAGGCACGTTTCTCCCTCCGCCTCTGCTCGGGGGCACTGAGGTTTGCAGGGCCTTTGGTGTGTCAGGAGTGTTTTCCACGGCACACTTACACCGAAGATATACGAATCCGTTCTATTAGCTAAATAGTTTGGTCCAAAGAGCCCAATAAGTATTTACATCCTAGCAAACTAGTAACCGTTTGAAAAAAGAATACATATAAATTGAAAGTAGTTCACACGATGTCCAACAGATGTCGCTGTGCCTTCCTTGAAAGTGGGACGGATCCAGGGCCTCCCTGACAAGTTTGCTGGGGCTCCCCGGGGGGCCCCTGGCACGGAGCCAGAGCATGGGAATTTGGGCACTAGCCATAGTTTTGTTTCATTTTGTTTTGTTTTTAGCATAGTAGACTATCCCTGGAAGCTTAAATTAAGCAGCTTTAGGACCAAGAAAAAGGTGTAATATGTAAAAAAATAATAATACTAATAATAATGACTCAAAAGTTTTTAACAGAATAAAAAACAAATAGGATCAAAATAAGTTTAAATGATTTTGCACATGATAAATCCATGATACATGATCATTTTTGTACTTTCTTCCATGTGCAGGTAGAAAAGGAATCGATTAATTTTAATTGTCTTCCTTACAGATGTCCCTAAACCAATGACTACTTTAGTAGGAAGATTTTTGCCAGTACCAGCAAAATTAAATCTCATTACACAACAAGTGAGTCATTGTTTTAATTTAAAAAAAAATACAGTTGGGCACTATTTTCTCCTAAAATTTCAGTTGTTGAAGTTGGAATTACTCAGGAAATGTAATTTATCCTCTGTTTTAAAATCGACAGTGAAACCTTTACTATGTGTTCCATACCTCCGCTGCTGGGTCAGACACTGGGGGTTGGGAGGCAGTGGCACAGGTTCAAAGCAATTCTGAGCCGACCCTGTGGTTGCACTTTCCTACAGCCATCAGACCAACCTTCTGAAACCCCATTTGTTGAGCTCATTTTTTGCAGCCCTGCTGTCCACCTAGCAGGACACACCACCCATTTGGTGTAGAACATTCCTCACCTTCCTCTGTAGAATGGAAATGCTTTTTCAGAGTTTAAAATGCTTTTATGATTGTACCACAATATGCACATACTAAATATAAGACAAATGTGTTATTTTGCCTAAGTCTTGATATACAATGTCACTACCCCAAAGGAGACTTTGATGACTCCCCGGTGTTGACAGCTGGTCACCGTCACTGCACCTGTCTGCTTCTCTGCCCAGCACTGTCACGGTCTCGCGCTCTTCTGGTTTGTCTGTTCGTCTGCATCTCCCACGGGTGTGCCGGGTCCGCAGGAGTAGAGATCTTGTGAGCCTAGTTTGTCTCTGTAAACTGAGACCTGGAACGAAGCCTGGCACGTACAGGGCGGTCACACAGAGCGACTTTCCGTAGGGCCGGTGCTGGTCTGAGCACTTGGACCAGATCAGTGAGCCAATGCTGAGTGATGCCCCCAAACAAAACAAAAGAAAACATATGACTCTGCCCCCTGCAGCCTACATTTTAGTGTGGGAGACAGACAACATGGGCAGATGTAGTAAATAAACTATATTGTGTGCCAGGAGAGCAGAGGACAGGCATCGGGTACAGAGCTTCTGCGGGGGCAAGGCAGGATGCCAGCCACGGGTGGCGCCATCGAGAAGGTGATGGTTGAGCAAAATCTTGAGAGGAGAGGGAGAGCTGTGTGACCATCCCGGGGGAGAACATTCCAGGCAAGCAGAAGAGCACAACACAGGGTCAACCTGCTGTAGAGACAGTGAGGAGGCAGCCAGGGGGAGGGGATGGAGTGTGCAAGAGGAAGGTAGCAGAAGGGAGTGGAAGAGAAGGAAGCATAGGGCTGGGGGAAGGGTGGGGGCCGAGTGGGTGTAGGGGACCTGCCACTGGGAGAGTCCCATAGTGCGGGGGGGGGGGGGGGGGGGGGCGGGGCAGAGATGACAGCCGCTCAGACCAGGCGGGGCCAGTGGAGCAGAAACAGCTTATCCGGATCCCCTACAGGCTGGCAGGGCTTGTGATGGGCTGGATGTGGGATGCGAGAGAGAGAGAGAGAGAGAGAGAAATCATGGATGCCCCCACGGTTTTCATCCAGAACAAACAGAAAGATGGTGTTTCCGTCAAGAGAGCTGAGGGTAGTGCATGTCTTATGAGGGAGACTAGGAGTTCCCTGGCCTTGACGTGTTACATTTGAGACATCTGAGTGACAATGGTGGGCAGGAGTGGGACGTGTGGGCCTGGAGATCAGTGTGAGGAAGGTCTGGGCTGGAGGGAAGAAGTCACCAGGGCGCAGATGGCATTTAAGTCCTTGAGACCAGAGGAGACCCGTGAGGCAGCGGGTATAAGCAGAGTCGGATGTTTGTCGAGTGGGTAAATAAGTATTTCTCAATATTGTATTGGTCAGTGCGGGAGGTCCCGAGCTGTGACCCCGGGAGCGCCCGAGGCAGACTCTCGCGGGTCCTGCACACAAGCCTCCGGCCTCCTGGCTGCCTCCACTCCTCCCGCCTTCCTTTCCCCACTGTGTCAGCCCCAACCAGGCGGGCACACGCTGGACTTGCTCTACCGCTAAGGTTGTGCCCTAGAAGTGGTCCTTCGGACCGCAGCCTCTTGCTTTCCACCTCCTCCTCATCTTTTCTTGGCTGTGTTATTCTTTTCCCGGTGTTGACTGCCCCTGACCTCTAGCCGGTGTGACCTTGAGGCAATCCCTTTAGCCATACGTTTGCTGCTTCCTTGCCAAACTCCCAATTCTGTATATTTTTAAAGATTTTATTTTTAAGTAATCTCTACGCCCACCATGGGGCTTGAACTCACAGCCATGAGATCAAGAGTCGCATGCTCCCCCAAATTCCTTATAGTTTTTAAGCACTTTGCTACTCACAGTGTGGTGCACGGACTAGGAGCCTGGGCATTATCTGGGAACTTGACAGAAATGCAGGATCTCAGGCCCTGCCCCAGACTCACTGACCCAGAATCTTCGTTTTAGCAAGAGCCCAGGTGATGTGACTGAGAAGACTGCCTGAGAGTTTCCGCCTCTGCTCGTAGGTGGCCGGCCTTGCTGAAGAAGGTCGTGGGTTCCAGCATAAAGTTGTTTAGATTAACTACCTATGCCGTCCTGAAGTCATCCCCTTTTCTCTGCTTTACCTTGGGACTAAATAAGCAAAGGGGAAAGGAGAAATTGTACCCCCATTTATGCGAAGGATTGCCTCAATCCTGAGAACTGTGAAATCCTTTCTCAAAAGGAATCCCAAACTTCCGACCACCTCTGGGAACATGGGCCCCACCGGTATCTGGGTGACGGGAAAGAGACGGTTTCAGGCAACTTGTGGACACTGCCCTCCTGTAAATTGAGTGAGGAGGACAGAGCCCCCAGCAGAAGAAAGGGGCTCCTGGGTGAGGCTCCCTGGAGAGATGGGGATCCCTAGAGGGATGGGGCCTTGTGCTCAAGGACGTGGACCTAGAGTGGCTTCTCAGGGTCTTCAAGTCCCACAGGCAGTGATGACACACAATAAGAGGCAGAAGAGAGAAAATAAATAGAATGAACAAAAGGTTTGTTTCTCCAAAACTGTAGTTTTTTTTTTTTTAAATGTTTTACTTATTTAAGTAATCTCTACACCCAGTGTGGGGCTCAAACTCATGACCCTGAGATCAAGAGTCACGTACCCTTCTGACTCAGCAGGCCAGGCGCCCCCCAAGACTATACTTTTTATATAAAACTGACTTTGAATTTCAAGTGTTCGGGGGAGGAAGGGACAAGGATAGGGTATTGAAGTGTGATATATGCAAATCATCTCAAAACCTGAATTTATGCAATTCTTTACATGTCTTCAGGCTTCCCATAAGAAGAGCATGAGGTCATTGCTGACTTTGCTACACTTTCCTTTTCTTGGGACGATCATCTGTGAGCCATGCTAACGAGTAATAGAAAGAAAGATAAATGAGAGGCTGGAAAGCAAAGACACAGAGGGGACAGAGGTTGTGACATGTATTTTGGATTTGTGGAAACCGGCTACAATTTTTTTCTTTTTTTTTGACTAGATGAGACACTGATGGTTGATAAGACCTTAGATGTCCAGGGCTCTTACGTTATACCAGGAATGTCATCATAATTAAAGAACAGTTTCAGTGTACAGAAGTTAGTGCAGAAGTTTGTGATTTAATTTAACTCACAATTTGTAGTCATAAAAATGAAAAGAACTGTCCATTCCAGTGTGCACGGCCAGTGCCCAACAGATGTGTGTGGTTGGCCAGGCCCTGCATCCTTACCCCCTACACCTGGTCCACACAGGCAGGACTCTCCCCTCCCCGGGCCGGAGTGGCCAGGTGGTTCTGGGACACACTGGGCTGGGCTCGCCCACTGCTGCAGAGAAGCCTGGGCTGGAGCCCACTCCAGGGGAAAGGGAACCGTCACGGTGGCAGGGCCTAACATCAGGCCATTGTGATATAAACCTCCAGAAGAAAACCAGTCATTTTTGTCTGGACCTAGATGTTCACTGGACAGAACTTATGAAACACGTTCTAATTAGAAATATGTTTGTCTTTGACTTTCTACAGCTTGAAAACGGAGGCTTACCATCCCTAGTCAACGGGTCTGCTTTCCCTTCGGGATCTGCTCTCCCAGGACCACCAAAGCTCACCTTGGCTGGGTAAGGATGAACAGCAATCAGTTGTCACTTACTTTAGTACAAATGTTTAAGAGGCTTTTGGGTACTGTGGTGTTTTTTTTCTAAGTTCTAAAAATCAGCTTTACCAGTAAACCTTCGTGACCTCTAAAAACTGTATTTTATATGAAGCAGTGGTACCAGCCGTGTCGCTGTGTGTGTCTGGTTTGTGGCTGGAAGGGCTTCCGTGTTGTCCGCTGTCCGCGCCGGTGTTTCAGGGCCCACCGCCATCCAGAGCTCTGTCTTGGTCTCACATCAGTTTAAACAGAGATGCTCTGTTTCTTTCTCGCAATCATCAACATGAGTAATGACGTGGCAGCCACTTAACCTTGACCGTGGTCTGAGTGTGCCTTTACGGGCCGCCGCGCCCCTGCTGGGTCAGCCCGCATTCGGAGGCAGGTGCCGACGCTCACGGTCTCCACGAGGATGTGGGCTGCCCTTAGCTGGGGCCTTGTCTTGCCATTTGAAAGCTGTATCTGTAATTGTAACTAATTAAACTAACCAAGCTGGTTGGAACTCCTTGTTGAGTTAACTTTCACATGCGAACAGTGGACGGGGCAGCCCTTTCTGCTCGTGGATCCTTGAGGTGGTTATGGAGATCGGTCCGCTCCCGCCTCCGTGAGTTTGTGGCACGCAGTGGTCGGACGTCCCCCTCGGGTCAAGCAGTCTGTGAAACGTCCACTGTGGGCTCTAGGGCTCTCCGGGCCCCCGCGGTGCTGGTTGTGGTGTCGGTGAGGGGGAGGAGCTGTCTGGGGACTGCGAGAAAGGCCCCGAGAACCACTTGGCAGGTACCGATGCCTTCCCCACTGCGTTGCCACGGGAGTGTGCCGGGGGCTCGCGTGGGTCGCGGCTGCTGCGGTTTCAGCAGTCCGTCTTTCGGTGGTTGTCGCCCGGAGGCTGAGCAGGAGACTTTCGGTTCATTTACCGGGATCGGGCATCCTCCCTGCCCACTCTCTTGGGCACGGATCAGGGAGGGTGTGTCGTTGCTGGTATTGTGCTCGGTCCTATCATCATGGTTTTCCCACTTCTGGACCAAACAGAAGCCACATGAGTCACTGCTAGATCCTGCTGGCAGGTCCGCCCCCACCCCGTCTTTGGTTACACTGCGCCACCTATGATGTCACCCTCCAGAAGACACGCCTTTTTCTTCCGTGGAATCTGGGAGCATCCGGCCGGCAGCGCGGGATCGCTGTGTGCGCTAGTGTCCGGAGCGTCCGAGGGAATCTGGCGCTTCTAACGCTTCATTCCAAGCGTGCGCTCTCGGAGCCCTGGCGCCACCTGCGGCTTCTCTGTGGCACGACTGACCCATGTCCTCGTGGGCGAGCAGTAAGAGGGAGCTGCCATGTAGTGTCACTCCGCCTTGTCCCCAGGCTCTCCTCGGTTTTCTCGGTCACATAGTTTTCTTTATTTTGGCATAATTATGCGAGTCATAAAACATTTTTCTCTTCTAAATGAAGCGCCAGGAACAACATGAGCCTTGTGTTTGGGGGGTTTTGCTGCAAAGAATTACTTGAGTTGGTGTCACTCCCTTGAGTCAGCCGTGTGGCTTTGATCTCAGCCCCCACAGCCCTGATGGTGAACGGAATCTAGCAGCGCGTGACTCGTGGTAAGGGCGCGCGCAGAAGCCGCTCGCTCTTGCGTCGTCCTGTGTGACTTCCCACTGCGACTGACTTGCCGTCCCCCCTCGCCTCCCGAGGTGCTCCATTAGCTGTCTTGTTGACTGCCCCAAGATAACAAGGTCCGACTAGGTCTGAAGACCTCAGAAAGGAAGCTCTGTCGGTCCAGTGTGGCTCAAAGGTTTCTAACCACGCGGGTGACATAGAAGTGGCGTGACGGTCAGCGGAGCCTCGGGGCACGTAGTCCTCAGGTGTCACTCACCCAGTCATTGCTCTTCAGAGCTGGGTGGGGAACTGGCTAACTTATTAACTAGCTTATCATATTCATGAAAATGCCCTTTCCGTAAAAATCCATGTCGTGTCACTCCACGCGGCTTCCGTCATCTTATCATCAGTCAGGTGTTCGCGCGGATTCTGACACGTCGCCGATGCTCTTGCTTTTGGTAACGTAATGAACGTCATAATAAAGAACACTCACGAGTCTGCTTCTCTGAGAATTTTTTTCATAAAGATGAGGTCGTATCTCGGGCGGTGGAGTTTATTTCTCGTGCTTTCCTGAGGCGGAATTGTGAGGATCTCTCCCGAGTCCTTAGCTTTCAGACTGGCATAAGAGGGTGGATAGTGTCCGCAGAGCCGTGGGACTTTCCCCGGTTCAGTTCCCGTCCCTTCCCGCCCTGGTGCCCTGTGCTCGCCCCTACAGCGCCTTTGCTCATGCTGCTACCTCAGCTGAAACCCCCTTGGGGTGGACAGTGAGTCTCACAGCCCTAACCGGTGGTGGCGAGTTCTAGCTCCTTTGAAAGTAGTCTAACTTCTTCCATCCAGATTAAACTACCATTTCTGGATTTTTTATCATTGCCAATCAGTATCAAATAATCTGAGAGCTGATTTTACCGTATCTTCTGTCCTCCAATTTTTCAATCTCATTTATATTTATATATTTATATATCTCATTCCCAAGTTCTTTGCGGGATTCCTCCTGGACTGACTATAAATTTTTATATGTATATTTTTTTATTTTCCCCTGAAGCTCTTATCACTGTCCTGACCACTTGATGATCTCTCAGGAAATGCCTATTGGTATCTTCCTGATACAGGACATTCATTGAACTGTACTCTGTCCTCCCACAGTCGTGGCAGGTCACGCCTGGAATGTCTCCATGCACCCCACCCCCATTTTTTAGAGGAAAGAATTTTGGTTCCTCTGGATAGTGCCAGGCCACCCTGTGTCCCACTGTCGGGGGAGGTCTGAGAGGCCGAGGACAAGAGCAGTGAAGTAGGTGTGCACGCTCCCTCCTCTGAAAGCCCACGTCTGCTCCAAGGCACACCTCTGGGCACCTGAGGGGACAAAAGCTGTCACTCTGCTAGGTACAAAGGGGAAAACTAGACTAGACGAATAATAAATTAATACAGCATTCAGTGACATAGTTTGGGGACATTATCTTAAAATGGGAGAATCTCCAAAAGTAAGAGTCAGCAGCTCGTGCATGAGTCGGGTGCCAAATGTGTTTGGGGGGTGGGGGTGGGGATGTCGCTAAACAGAAGCCCAGACAGTAGGGCTGGCTGGAGGCTGCTAAGGCGAGCGCCCGCGCAGGGGACCCACCGTCCACGTACAGAGGACGACGGGCTGAGCTGGGACTTAGGGTTCCCCCAGTCCAGACTCCACAGAGCTGAATGTGTGAGTGTGCAGCGCCCAGGCAAAGGGGCTCGCCTGGCACACCGTCTTTGGGGCATTTGTATCAGAACCACGGGACAGGTGGCGTGCAGTGCTTCTGCGCTCTGTGCGGCTACAGGAGACTGTTGGCAAACGTTACCTGTGTGCCAAGTTCCCTGCGGTTTCTGTAGGGACCCCCTGACCAAGCGGCATCCCTGTGACCCAGCAGAGCCCTGTCACCGTCCCGTCATTGTCTTTGGGCACTTGCCCCTCCTTTCACCATAGCGTAGTAAACGTCTCACAAAACGAGGATGCGGAGTTTCCTCCGCGAGCGGTACTGGAAAGCAGCGCTTGGGAGCCTTCCCCGATTTTAATCCCCAGCTGCCCCTCATGTTTAGCCTCTATGACTCGCTCGTCTGTCCCCCTCTGATGCCCCCACGATGGCTCCTGGGCTAATCCCAAGAGCAGTTAGGTCTCCGCTGGAAACTTGCTTTGACGTTGCTGGTAGCTCTGCAGCGTGGACAGCTCTGACACTGCCCAAACGATACAAGACGACGATTGGCCGATTTAAGTTACATTATCCGTTAGTGTTCAGATTGGGGAAAATACGCCACTGGCCGCGTGGCCTAATGGATAAGGCGTCTGATTCCAGATTGGGGAAAATGCAAAAAGGTTGAACTAAAGGAGCTATTTGGCATAAGGGTTCCCACATAATAGGGGTTTAAACAGATCAAGGGAATAACGTCCTGAAGCCTTCCTGGGGAGGGGACAGCAGTCGGGTCCTGTTGTGCACCCCGTGGGGACTGTGGGCATGCTAGCTGGGATCGGCCAGGCTCCTGCCATCGTGCGGTAGTACACACAGCAACTCCGTTTCATGATCGGGCGCTGATAAATAGTACCTATGAGCACCTGGTGCTGAGATTTTCAGTATTTGTTCAAAACACCAGATGCTTAGCTAATTCTCCTTTTAAAGAGTAACGATCTGAATATTTTCTTTTTTAATCTTTATAGAGTAACTCTTAGTTCATGGGACACAAAGTCTAAAAAGCCATGTAACTGTACCAAATCCCAGTGTCTGAAATTGTAAGTAATCACAAATCCTTCATTATTAAGTAGAAATAAGGTTGTTTAGAAGTCAGTAAGTGGTGCACAGTCGAGGCGAGCGTCAGCGGCTAGCAGCACGGGGCCGCAGCTGAGACCCGCCGGCCAGAGCAGCGAGACGCCGCGCCCTCTGCCCAAGCCTGGCTCGGGTCTCCTGGGATTCTCTTGACCGACTAACTTAGCAAAGGACCCTGCCTGCCCCTCACGTGGTGTGACTTTCTTGGGTTTGGGTTTGCATCTCCGCCCCTGGGATGGGTGCTAACCGCGGCACCCTTCCGGGGCGTTCACTGGGACATTGACACATCCTAGTTTTTACCAGTTCGGTGGACTGGTTCACTCAGTAGTGAATTTTCTCAGAAAAATCCTCCCCCGGGGATGCCAGCTCACAGGAGGCTTGGTGGGGGGATGGTGGGGCTGGCCGTGTGGCAGAGCTGTGGGCGGGGGTGTGGGCGATGTGGCTGATGCAGGTGGTGGCCCTGGTATCCCCTCTGGCCCTGCCACACGGGGATGCTGTTCGTGTCGTCTGCCAGGCTCTCAGCTTTGCCAGGTGTCTGCCCCAAAGGCCTGCCTAGCTTTAGAGTGACAATTGGAGGGGGCACACATCCCCGTCCTGATGG